AAATTAAAATTTTGTTAAACTTTGATAAAACTTTGGACATTTGAAAATCACTGTACAATTAATTGACTTTAACCTCTACAGGTTTCTTTTTTCTTTCGGGCAGATCGAAGATTTTTTGGAAGTGGATTCCAAGTTTGAGCAGTTTTTAATCACGTTTTTATTTTGACTGTGTCAATGTAATTGGATCTGTCCTAGTGGGTACTGCCATTATACAGACACATTATATGATCAGTTTTGGACAGTTCACTTGTTGCCAGAGAAGCCAGTATTCCTATAGATATTTAGAAAACAGCCCTAATAAAATATGTGGGCTGATTGGTTCAAAATTGTGTTTCTATGACTTGATAGAAACACAGAACTAGCGTGAACTGTTGACGCAATGATGGCGCAAGCAAAGAGAATTTACATTTTGATAATCAAAGTTAACAAGTTGTTTTCCTTTATTTATCACTGTGTTTTCTAAAAGGAATAGAAAACAAGTTCTCCATATTTCTATGGATTATAGAAACATGCATGAAAGTTTGGGAGAACTCGAAAAGCTGTGGAAACTCTCGCCTGTGGCTCATGTTCCCACAGCATTCTCGTTCTGCCAAACTTTCACTTGTGTTTCTATAACTTGATAGAAANTGGACATTTGAAAATCACTGTACAATTAATTGACTTTCAGCTCTACAGGTTTCTTTTTTCTTTCGGGCAGATCGAAGATTTTTTGGAAGTGGATTCCAAGTTTGAGCAGTTTTTAATCACATTTTTATTTTGACTGTGTCAATATAATTGGATCTGTCCTAGTGGGCGCGGCCATTATACAGACACCTTATATGATCATTTTTGGACAGTTCACTTGTTGCCAGAGAAGCCAGTATTCCTATAGATATTTAGAAAACAGACCTAAGAAAATATGTGGGCTGATTGGTTTAAAATTGTGTTTCTATAACTCGATAGAAACACAGAACTAGCACGAACTGTTGACGCAATGATGGTACAAGCAAAGAGAATTTACATTTTGATAATCAAAGTTAACAAGTTGTTTTCCTTTATTTATCGCTGTGTTTTCTAAAAGAAATAGAAAACATGTTCTCCATATTTCTATGGATTATAGAAACATGCATGAAAGTTTGGGAGAACTCGAAAAAGCTGTGGCAACACTGGCTTGTGGCTCATGTTCCCACAGCATTCTCGTTCTGCCAAACTTTCACTTGTGTTTCTATAACTTGATAGAAACACGGTACATGTTTTCTATGATGGCACTTTCCTATGTGGCACCTTCCATTTGCTGAGGTTTCATTAACAGGAGGGCAAGAGGGCAACTGGTTTTCACAGCCGGGCAAAACTTTTTGAACTTATTTACTTTATACGAGAAACTTGATAAAGGATCTGGTTACATCACTACAAGGGCAATACTTTTAGGACACCTTTTAATAACCAACTATCACGTAGCGAATTGACAACAGCACAATCTAGTACACGAGGCGATGCAAAGATAACAAACTCATTACGTCATGTGAACTCAACTCAACCAATAATAATAGTCCATTATACAGCATACATTAGCATAATTATCTTAACAAAAATTTCCTCCAAACAATCAAACCAGATGGACAAAATCATCCTCACAGCTGGACAATTTGACCGTTGCCCAGCCCATAGTGAAACCCCTGAATTGACCAAAAATTCTAGTTTGAAATTCCATAAATTTCCAGCGGTGAATAGAACATAATTTTTCAGGTTGAAAAATCAGATTGACCTCGTGAGTTATGTGTAAAAACCAAACTTATAAAATTCTAACCCCCAAAAGTTTAACACCTAGACCAGGTCGCTCGAAAGCCCGTTAACACTAACTCAGGATTACAAGTTAACTGAAGTATTAGTGTTTTTATCATATAAAAATGTTTTTCTTTGTTTTTGCTTTGTGTAGTTTGAGATTATTCAGAATCAAAACTGAAGGATTAACATTTTTACTTTGTTCTGTTGTATTTTTGGTGCCCCTCTTATCTAGCTGGTACGCCCTGTAGACTCTGCTTATCTAGTCTATAGGACCCACCGTTACCATAGCTAAGTGAACAACAAAGTGAAATAAACTATGTCTATGCAAATGAATATATGAAAGATCATATATATGAACTGCGGAGAAAGATATGAAGACATGATTGATCATCGCAGTTATACACACTTAAGCAGTTGTGAAATTAAAGGCTGAAAAAAAAATTAGGCCTGAACGGGATTCAAACCCATCACCTCTGTGATACCGGTGCAGTGCTCTACCAACTGAGCTATCAAGCCAACTGGGAGCTGGTCACATTGTGCTGGTCACAACTGCTTAAGTTGTGTGTATAACTGCAATGATCAATCATGTCTTGAAACTATGTCTATGTCTTTATGCCTAAAACCTCACCACAAAGTTAAAAAACTCAAATCAAAACTCTTGCTAATCCTGTGTTAGCTTAATGAGGCTTTGAACAACCTGGTCCTGTTACGTATTTATATGGTGATGACAATGCTGGTTGTGTTTTCCTTGTGCTGCAAAAGGTACATATGTACACACTGTAAGTAGGAATCTGTTCTCCATATCAAGATCTCACTTGTCTGCCAGAAGTAACTTACTCATGAATAATTTGTGTATGTAAGAAGAAATTAGGTGTTGCTCACTCTTGAAAACATTATGATGTTCAATTTTATTTTTTTCTTGAATGTGTCAATTGATATGGATTTTTTTAACTGCACACAGGTTCTCTTACTGGAGGCCAGAGGATTACTATCGAGGTACAATCAAGCAAGAATGTGGCAGCTGTAACTGTGGATGGGACGAAAGTAAGGCTTACATTCAGGCTTGTAGCCAGATGGGTGTCCAGGCATCCTGTGGATGGCCACTTTATAGAGAAAATTGTTTTATTTTTCATATGTTGCCAGATAAATTGTTCATTTGAGCAGGCCCTATAGCACGTTTTGGACACCCACTTTTCAAATCCTGGCTAAAAGCTGCTTACATTATGTGTATTAACTGTACTGTACATGTACGGTTGAACCCTGCCATTGCAAAGTCTCAGGGGAAGCGAAAAATAGTTTGAAATAGCAAAAGTTCAAAATAGCCGTTAGTAAATGACTGAAGGGCAAATCCAAGGAAAATGGTTTTGAGCTCAAAATTATGAGGAATTCAAGAAAACCGAGTTCGAATTAGCAGGTTTCAACTGTATACTCTTCATCATCAAAATATTCC